AAAAAGCATAGACTCTTGATAGTTCAGAAGACAAAACTAATTAGTATGAATTCTAGGCAGGAATTAATTCAATCAATTTTTCCTCCTTCTATAGGTTCCTTTTCTGAAAATGAATGCTTTCTTAACAACAATAGCAGCTACAATTTACTACTCACTATGTGCCAGGCACATACATTACATATGCAAGTAAATACTTTTTTTTACCATAATATTTATCTTTCCTTATGTTTTCAAACTTTTCCTTGCTTTTCAACAAAATATGGTATGGGAATTCCCTGGTGGTCCAGTGGTTAGGACTCACACGCTCTCACTGCCTTGGGCCTGGGTTCGATCCCTGGTTAGGGAACTAAAATCCTATAAGCCATGAGGCACAGCCAAGAAAAAAAAAAGGTAAACATGAAATGCTAAAATTCCTTTAAATTGCACGCTACAGTGGTAGGAACTAGAAAAAAATAAAGAAAGAACATTTACTGAGTGTCTATTATATACTAGGCACATGTAAGGCACATAATACCCTCATACTAACACTTGAGATAAGCATTACTATCTCCTTTTAAAAACAGAAATTTCGTGTTCAGAGAACTTAAAAGCAATTTCTCTAAGGTTACAAAACAAAAAGCAGCTGAGGCCAGATAAAACCCATCTGCTTGACTAGGAAGTCTGTGCTTTTCTACGTCATCCTTTCAAGATGGTGGTAGGTCTTTAAACAACAAAGCAATTAATAAATTTGATCAAGAAAAACATAACTGACAGAATAAACTGTTTTAAATTTAATATACTAACCAAGATACCTTATGAGTACACCAAGATACACAACATGTTTTAACATTCAAAAGAAAAAGAAAATGGTCTTCTATATTAAATTAGGTTGTAATCTTTGGCTGTATGTGTAATCTTGGGCAAGTTACTTAATATTTCTGAGTCTCAATTTCCTCATCTGTAAGAAGAGGATATTATCTTATAGATTGGTGTGGTGAAGATTAAAGATTAAGATGATACAGATAATGGTTAGCACAGATGCTCACACATGTAAGATATGTGTTACTCTAACACAGTGAAATTGAGGCTGTAAAGGATGCTAACAAATATAATGCAAATGTTTCACTTTTTCCCACAAATTACTAGGAAAAATATCACAGTTGCTCCCAATCCCTACCCAGTGTTTCAAAATTTCCTTAAATGTTTTATCTCAGTAAAAATTTGATAGAGATGAAAAACAGCTTGTGTATATACAAAGAACAAAGACTAGAGTTGGTGGTTAGAGAAGGAGAAGGGAGGTTCAGGAACCCTAAAAAGGAAAGAAAACATCCTGCAAAGTCAAAGCACACCCATACCTTCAGAAAGACTCCCAGATAATCTTAACAACTACAAATGCCTCCTATTATCTACAGGCCAGGAGACTTTAGGCTTTTATCCAGGGTAGACTGCTATGACAATTTATCTCTTTTCATATCTGAGCTGGTCTTATGTGTTCCTCAATCTTCGTCTGGAGTGGGAGAGTGGGTCTGCTACAGGAAAAGCATTAAGGTTATATTTGGTATAGAACTCAATAATGCTGTACTTCTAGATGCGGCCTGAGAGTGTGTTTATTTTTTTACATGTCTATACCTTTTACCTGTAACGACTGCTACTAATCTTCCCAAACAGAGTTCAAATGTCAACTCCTGAGGCCATTAGTACTTCACAAGGCAGAGTTAGTTCTACCTATTCTGTTTCCAGAGTACTTGGTACACACCTTTACTTGCCTCACTGAAATACATGTAATTAATTCACTAAATGCTGGTTTTTCACACTAGTTCCCTGCAGGCAATGATGGTGTGCTTGTATGTTTGAATTCAATGTCCAGGCACTGCTCTACTGTTGCTGCTACAGAAGTTCACTTTGTTCAATATTTCAACCTGTCTAGAGAAACAAGTGGAAAATGTAATGTGCTTAAGAACACCATTTTTTCATCGGTAGGAAGAAAACTATGCCCATTACACCTTTTGGTTATGTATAGAGCATATTAATTTTAAAACCCTAAGAATGTAACATTTTAGACCTGAAAGGAACTTTAGATTTCCCAGTTCAAACTTCCTAAGGCTAACTGACAAGTCCAGGGTCATACAATCAATCAATAACTAAGCCAGCAGATTTGAACAGACCATTTTCTTAACCTTAGTGACCATACTGCTTTAAGAATGTCAATACACCATTATCGGACCTTCATCCAGACAGAAGTTACCATTCAGTTGTTCTGCAGTGAGGAATAGGGGAGCTGAGGTTTGTAATTACGATACCTAAATACATATCATGGATTAGAAAAAGAAAAGGCCTCTAACCAATGGTCTATGGTCAAATTATGTAGATTATCAAGGCTTTGCATGTTAAGTAACACTGCCTGTTGTTTTCTGTAGTGGTGTGAGCAGTATGATACCAACCTAGCTCTTTCACTCTTTCTTTAGTAAAGATAACATGTATTTTACAGATGACTAAAGGTTGACTGCACAAGCAGCAAACTGTGAAATCTGAGATGTTACGGTCAAGTTTCTAGTTTGGGAAGTAGGATATTCAAATGATCATGAAATAAAATATACATAGTCCATTTTCATTTTTATGCCCATTTAAAAAAAATAATTCACATTGATAAAGCCCTATGAATTACATATATTTCAGTAAAAGCATCCCAATAGAAAACCATTACTTTAAATTCCATTTGTTTTAGACACTGAAAAGGTAAGCAGTGTAACAATAAGTGTTCTCAGTTTATTATTTTGGTATCATTTATCAAAGTACCAGTTTTTAAAGTGAAAAATTATTCTCTTTTAAAAACCTGAGATTTCAACATAGCGTTTAATCTAAAATATGCTTTTAATTAAAATGCAGTTATCATTTATATATATCCTTAATAACATTCAATACGTTTAAATACTATTTTCAGCATGGTTTCAAAGCAGTATGATCATGTTTGACGCTGATGTTAAGTACAGAATTGAAAATAATAATTTCTAATATTTTCTATACAAATATGTAATAAATCGCAAGAAGCTAGTAATACAATATATAAGTAGGCTTGACTTGTGAAATTTTCTAATGGTTCTCAAAGAAATCAGTTTCATCAGGATTCACTGGCTTTCCCACTCTCCTTGGCTCATCCTTAACACCTGAGACAATACAGAGAATTACCTCCAGGTAGTGAATGCTGTTTTGATTAGGATTGCAAGGAACACTGGTGACCTCCAGTGTTTATTCTTTTTCCAGGTTGTTCTGTCCATTTTGCCCTTTTGTTTTAAAAATGAAAGAACTATGAAACAACAAAAATATACTGTTTCTTAAAATTAATGTCAGGCAAAGAAATGAGATGAATTTTTCATTTACTAATCTGGTATTTTTTAAAACCTGTGCAGTTATACTAAATATTAATATGTAATTTAACTTCTATTACTCTCATAGAATTATAGTAACAAATTACCAAAAAAATCGCACAGTTACATGTTTTAGCTGTTCTGTCAGTTTTAAATATGACTTCCGTTAATCTAGCAGAAATCACGTTATGCTGTTGAACCACCTACCCCTGCACAGCACACAACTGTTAAAATGTAAATTGCCCAACTATTTTTAGCTGTCGCTGAAAAAAAAATCCTGTCTTTGGGAATAATGATTTGAGGCATTGTGTTCATTTTGTTTATCAAGCAGCTATTCAGCCTCTAGTGGGTCCAAGTGCTTATGCAAGCAAAAGCTTTTAAGAATGCCTGCAGCTGCAATCCAACCTTCCAGGTAAGCTGCAGGTTCAGAGCACAGCTGCCCTAGGCTGCATAAAACTCAGATCCATCTGGAAGTGAGTTTCAAAGAGGATTTCAAATTTAAGTTTTCATGTATCACATGGAAGAGAAGGAGGGGGAAGAACATAGGAAAGAAGGAAGGCAAACAACCAAAAAGATGGTATCTCTACTTCAGCCTTAATAAAAAATAAAAAGCTCAGACCCATGCTGCTCCTTCTAGATTACTACTTGCCAAGCCAGATATTCCATTCAGTGTATACTTCGATGAGCTGTGACTCATCCAGCAGCACCTGCGCCCATGTGTTAAGTACTGCCAAATAAAAGGCCAACATCCATTTACACAACAAAGAGATGTACCCTACAAGGCATGGGGCCTCAATCCAAAAGCCCCACTCCCCATTTGTTCTAAGAAAAGGGAGAGGAAAAAAAATCTTCCCTCTTCACACCAGGGATTTTTAAATTGTAGGTGGATTTATGATATAGGTTCATTTACAAATACTTTTACTCTGTAACAGAATAAACTATACTTAATAGCACAAACACCCCTACAGCATTTGATTATCATGGCCATTAACGGTTGTTCACCAAACCTTTCCAACCTCCTTCATGAAAGCTCTTTATTCTCAAAGGATACATTTTTGAGCAAAGAGGGATCAACAAACTAGCTGCTTGAAAGCTTTCCTGATGCTAGGCTGAAGTTAGGAAAGGCTTAATGAAGGCTTTAAAATCCACAAGGGCTTCACAATGAACATCTGACTTGGTGATTTATGCATATTAATAACCTCAGTCCTACTGAGGCAAGCTGAGCCGAACATGTCCTCCGAATCTTAATGTCTTTAGCTCCATTGGGATTATTACAAATGTAAATTTCTAAGATTCTCAGCTATTAATCTCTGTCTGTCCTCCTGTTCAGCAACATAATGACTAATTAAACATCAAAAGACATGTACAGGAGATCTTCTTTGACAGCTACCAGCCTAGTCCTCTTCCCAAGAGGGGAATTCAAATGACAGGGCCATGGAGTAAAAGCATATGAGTAAGCTACAAACCACTGAAGAGAAATCTTAAAAACCTAACACTGAATTTGGATTTAACTCAATCAGTGATTCCGTTAAGTAGAGAACAGTTACTATGTGAAGTGTGCCTACTGATACCAACCAAATGTATCCTTACAGCCAGCAGATACTGAATACCTGAAATCAGTTTGTTTACCACAAAGTCAAAAAAATGGGTACTTACAGAAGAAGGCAAGCCAGGAGGCACCTTTCTGACTTTCTTTGCTTGCAAAGGATCTGCACGTGGGAAACAGTATATTTCATCAGCATTTGTATTAGAAAAGTTTCAGACTTCAAATGAGCAGGAAAGAATTTTTCCTCCTAGTATCTTCTTGTCTTCCAGTATTTTAGAAGTAAGTAAGGGAATACAGGGATAGGGGTCTCATTCTTTCTAACTGGTTCCAGTGTAAAACAGGTACTCCTAATGAAGTGATATATTCTGAAATACATATCCCATAAGTTTGGGAAGATGACAGCAAAGTAAAACAAGAAAGAAAATAACAAACCAATAAGCATGTGTGAGAAAAGGGAATAATATTTCTTAAGCACCTATTATGTGCAAGGTTCCATATTAGGCACTTTACATCATTTATCTCAGCTCATTTGCAGAGGGGCATTTGGTACAACAGGTCAGTTTAATAATATGACTCCTTAAGAGAGACACAAATTTAGTGTTCATATCACATTGAGAATTAGGTTTAAATGCATATTAAATAGACTAAAAGCTAATGCTAATGCTACAAGGTATTATGTTAAAAATTTGAAATAAAATTTAATAACTGAAAAATTAAGGTTATAATAATATCTGAGATATGCTACATAAACTATTAGATACAGGCATTGTCATGTATGATATCATCCTATAAGTATTCTATAAGAACATTTACTTTAACAATGTGTGGTTAAAACTGCAACTTCAGCACTAATTATTATACAATTTTATCCTTGGATGTTTATATTTATTTCCAAGAAATAACTAAAGTATATTTCTTTCTAAGACACAAATTATTTATTAATATAATGGAGAATATGAATATTTTCATATGCCTAATGACCTTACTTGGTATTTTACTTTTACTTATCTGTAAAATTTAAAATTTAATACTTGTTCATCTTATTTATTGTAAAAAAATGGTGTTAATTGCACCTTTCCAATTGTACACAAATAATGGATCAAATTCAGGATTTTTCAGAGGGGTTAACTATTAAGAAGAGAGAACGCATAAGAAGGCTGATGTTAATTACAATGTTTTTGAAAACTGTAAAAATTAGAACTGTAAAAATGGTATTTTCCTGGGTCATAAATGATATGACAATAAAACATGCAGTTGTTTAAGATAGAATGAAACCCATTTAAATTGGGGCCGGGAATCTTTATAGTGAATGTCCCAGGAGGCTGCAAAGCTAAAAAAGCAACTTTGTAAGTAGCACATGGAAAAAGTTTATACAATAAAAAGAGGAAAAAAAAACACTCATTAGCATCTATTCCCTACCCCAAGAGGCAGCCTATATTTCCTTAAAACAAAAGTGCCAAAGATAAACAACATCTGGCACACTCTATATTTATAAAACTTACAGGCAAAATTTTTGTTCTTTGTGAGGCTTTTCTAAAACCCAACTTTTCACAACTAGTACAGTATCCCTTGAGCAAAAGCCACACTCTATACATACCAAGAGAGTCAACTGAACTGTTCCTATCAGTCTGGAGCCCATCACTCTCTTTTGGGGTAGTTAGCAGTAGAATACATTGCTGTTCAGATAAGGACAGTTCTTCACTGCCATGGGAATGGAAATTTTTCTTTTATATTTTTAATCTCATCATTAGCTGCCTCTCTACAATTATATAAATAATGTTGGATTCAAAATCATGAACTTAGGATACAGAGTTCACTTTTGGGAGGTTTCAAAGTGTAATAGTTAAGAGAGTAAGCTGATTGGATTCAAATTTCAGCTCCATCACACAGCAGCTGTGTGAGCCTGGGCAAGTTACTTAACCTCTTAGAACTTCAGTTACCTACAATAACCTCCTGGAGTTATTGCAATAAATATAATACAGAAAGATGCTCAGGGAAGTGCCTAACAGAAAATGACACAATAAATTTTAGCCATTATTACTAGGTTTATATTAAAAACTGTGGCAAGAGTATTATAAATTAGATACTGTTTTACAGAATGTTGATTTCCTAAAGCATCTAAATAGCTTGAGAAGATGCTAAGATTGGCGTAGATTATCTCTGAAGTCCTTTCAGAGATTTTATGGATAACTGCAATGCCAAGAAAGAGTGGCTAAGACTGAGAAATAACAATAAAGAATGGAATAATAATCCACTAAATGGTATTCACCCAGGAGATGAGTGCACCTCCTTGGATACCAAGGCTTGGCTAAGTTACTTAGCTTCCTGGGTCTTGGTTCCTTATTTGCAACATGACGTTAATATTATAACCTCACAGAGTTTTTGTAAAGATGCAGTATGTATAACACAGTACCTGGCATAGAAGAAATAATCCACAGTACCTAGCATTATCATAATCAAAATGAAAATGAAGAATATATAAGCTTTAATTTCTGGAAAGCTTGAGTATTTATGAAATCCACTCCCCCTCCCTGCCCTCAATATTCCAATAGTTTATTTCTCCCTTGAACTCTTAGTAATAGTATACTGGTCTATATTAGTGCTTTTTATCACAGTGTGTGCTTACATAGCATACTGACAGATATTCTTCTAGAGTGACACCGCCACATCTAGACTCAAAAGAATGTTCTTACCCTGACTAACTAATTTGGTGGGAAACAAAAGTGGAGATGGAGAAAAGATACCTTAACTTACCATTTCCTTAATGAGTGCAGTGGTCTAAATCATTGGAGCTAACAGTACATATACTCAACCACCCATAACACTGAGAGGTGGGCATATCTAACCAGAGCTTTCTATGCCTAGTATGACAATCCATCACTGTGCCCTTTTACACCCTCAGGCATATTCTAGACCCAAAGGCTAGGGATATTTTAACAAAATTTAGGTTTGACAGAGGTAGACATACAAATTAGGGGTGTCAACAAGTATCTGTGGAACAAATAACTGGGACATACTTTCTTTTGGTGGACTATGTTTATTTCAGAAGCTGGTTTATCCTTAATATAAACATGCTTTACAACTTCAATTTTCTTATATAAAGGATTCTTTGGTAAGAATAACCAAAAATTCCCACATTTAAACACTGACTGGATAGGGTGTCAGAGTATACCTGAGGCTTGCTGTAAGCAGCAACACAAAACAGATTGGCCTGGTTAGGCTATGTATAAGACATAAAAGAAGGAAGCTAAAGAAAATGAGATCTGCATGCTTGATAGTTACTGAGTTTCCTTTTGAGGTGATGTTTTGGAGCTAGAGAGAATGGCTGTACAGTTTTGTGAATATACTAAATGTCCCTGGATTGTACACTTTAATATGGATAATTCTGTTATGCTAATTTTACCTCAATTTTTTAAAAAGTGGGGAGTAGAAGCAATTAATATGCAAAGAACATTGGACTTGGAGTCAGAAAATCTTAAATTGTATCCTGCATAAATCACCTCTAGTTATATGAATGTGTCCTCTTTTGAGCCTCAATTTTATGTTAAAGCTAGTATTACGTCCACTGACTACTAGGACTGCTGTATGGATGAAATGAGAATGTATACTATAAAACCACTTTGTAAACTGTTGAGCATTATATCAATTTTAGTCAAGAATAAGGTGTTAATATTAGTACATGACATTTTTATTATAAGAGGAAAAACTAATCCCATTTTTAAAGTTCCATTTTTCACTATTCAGTTCCTCTTATACTGATGACCAAATATTGTTTATTAAATATATATTATTTTATGTAAATAAGCCCCACTATCATCGTGATACCCAAGAAACCAAATTTCTTCTAATTAAAAGTACAGCCAGAAGCATAGACTAAGGGGGAGTGGGGTAGGGAAGAAACATTTGTAAAATGGGGTTTGTTGTGTGATACACTTACCAAGTGCTGCAGAGTCATGGAGTGGTCTTCTCCTGGAACTTGTGGCAGAGAATGAGTAGTACGGTGTCCCAGGTTTTCCTGAAGAAGAGATTTGTGCTGGGCTTCCAAGCCCTAGATCTTGTCTCAGGAGACTAGACTATAAAACAAGGCCAAAAAAACAAGTTATCTTCTCATTGATTATGAACCCAAATCTGAAAATGACATCACTCCTGAACTATCTATAGTAACTTCAACAAACCCTTGAATTTAGGAAGTATCTAAGTACTTACTTGAATTTTATTAGACCATTAGTTTAAACCTGTATTTTCTCTTTTTCCCCATCCTCATGTTGCCTGCTTTCTAGTAATTATGTAGATCCATACACTCTTAGGGTTGAAAGATACTTTAGTTACTATGTAGTTCCACTCTCTGATCATCAAGAACATTTTTGAAAAATGGCCACCAGTCTTTGCTTGAATGCTTTCATGACCACAAAAGGTAGTCAATTCTGTTCTTTTTCCATTTTTTTTTCCCTTTTTGGAAAGCTCTCATTGTTTGAAGAGTGCCAATATTTTCAAGACTAGTCATTCCTGTTTTCTTCAGCTGTGTCTCATGACATGGTTTGAATGTCCTCCTCACCATCCCTCATACAGACCTCTAGATTTTCCATTTGTCAAAGTCTCTTGCAAAGGAGAATGGAGAATAATGCCCCAAATGTGGCCTTATTAATGCAGAGTAGTTTTCAACACTACATTTAAACAACCCATTTGTGCTAGCTAGCTCATAGTGAGAGGTTAAGAGTAATCACACCCTGTTACTCTTTATCGTGTAAGTTGCTATTAAGTCATATCCCTCCAATGGTTTCTTTGTTCGGTTTGTGTTCTTTGGTTCCAAGTACAAGACTTAACATTTAGCTCTGATAAAATTCATCTTGTTATATTTGATCCATAATAATCATCCATTTTTATCCTTGTCCAGGATGACAAGGCTGAGGAGAGAGCCCTAATGTATGTCACAGTGATGTCATGAAATTGTGTCAAGTACTTCACTGAAATCCAGAGATTTAGCAGCCCTGAACTACTAACGAATTGACCCTGTCATAAAGCAAATGAAGTTAATTTGGCAGAATTTGTTTTCAAGCTTTCTGGTAGCTGAGGGAAAAGGAAGACCTCAATTGGAAAGGGTGTTAGATATACTTGAGAAGACGCTCTCAAATGAAAAGAGCTGTGATTTCTCTCATATATTCACTATTCTCCCAGTCAATAATACCCCTTACTGTTATCACCATACTGTTGGTAGTTGTCATTCCAGCTACTGAGCATCAAGGTACTGAGAAATAAACCTCAGCTCTGGTTAGAAAGAATCAGTAGAACTTTATAATGCTAGCCATAATAGTCCAGTCCCTGCCTCCAGAAAGACTTTCATTTCAGTTTGTCACACTATTTAATAATTTTAAGTAATATTTATGTTTCAGCTTAAAAATCTAAGGTGGAATTAACATAACATAAAATTAACCATTTTAACATTTCCAATCAGTGACATTTAGTACATTCATAATGTTGTGCAACCATCACCATCTAGTTCCAGAACATTTCGTCATCCCAAAAGGCAACTCCATACCCATTCAAACAGTCACTTCCATTCCTCCCCTTCTCCAGCCCCTGACAACCACTAATCTGCTTCTATCTGTGGATTTAACTTATTTTGAATATTTCATATAAATGGAATAACTAATATGTGACCTTTTACATCCAGCTTCTTTCACTTAGCATGTTTTTGAAGTTCATCATGTTGCAGCATGTATCAGTACTTCATTTCTTTTTAGGAATGAATGATATTCCATTGGACAGATATACTACAATTTGTTTATGCATTTATCCACTGATGTAACATTTTGGTTTTCTCCAGCTTTGGACTATTGTGAATAGTGTTGCTATGAACATTTGTGTGCAAGTATTTGTTTGAGTATCTCTTTTCAATTCTTTTGGTTATACACTTAAGAGTGGAGTTGCTGGGTCACGGGGCAAAATCTGTCTAACTTTTGGAGAAACTGCCAAACTGTTTTCCATGGTGACTGCACAATTTTACACTTCATTGTATGACGGTTCTAAGTTCTCTACATCCTTACCAATACTTGTTACTTTCTGTTTTTTAAATTATAGCCATCCTCATGGGTGTGAAGTGGTTTTGATTTGCATTTCCCTCGTGACTAATGATGCTCAACAACTCTTCTTGGGCTTGATGGTCCTTTGTATATCTTCTTTGGAAAAATGTTTATTCAAGTCCTTTGCCCATTTTTTTTTTTTTTTTTTTTTTTTACCCGGTACGCGGGCCTCTCACTGTTGTGGCCTCTCCCATTGCGGAGCACAGGCTCCGGACGTGCAGGCTCAGCGGCCATGGCTCACAGGCCCAGCCGCTCCACGGCATGTGGGATCTTCCCGGACCGGGGCACGAATCCGTGTCCCCCGTGTCCCCTGCATCGGCAGGCAGACTCCCAACCACTGCGCCACCAGGGAAGCCCCCTTTGCCCATTTTTGAATTGAGTTGCCTTTCTGCTGTGGTATTCTAAGAGTTCTTAATATGTTCTGTTCTGTATATTAGACCCTTATCAGACATCTGATTTGCAAATATTTTCTCCCATTTTGTAGGTTGTCTTTTCACTTCTTGATAATGTCCTTTGATTCACAAGTTTTTAATATTGATGAAGTCTAACTTATTTTTCCCTTTGTTTCTTGTGCTTTTAATGTCATATCTAAGAATCCACTGTCAAATCCAAGGTAATGAAGATTTATCCCTACATTTGCCTCTAAGAGTTTATGGTTTTAGCTCTTACACTTAGATCACTGATGCACTTTGAGTTAACTTTTGTATATAGTGTAAGGTAGGGGGTCCAACTTCATTCTTTTGTATGTGGATATCCAGTTGTTCTAGCACTATTTGTTGAGGAAAATAGTTATTTCCTAACTCAGTGGTCTTGGCACCCTTGTTAAAAATCAATTGGTCATAGATGTTCGGGTTTCTATCTGGACTTTCAATTCTATCACATGGGTCTATATGTCTACCTTACACCAGTTCCACAGTGTTTTGGTTACTGTAGCTTTGTATTAAGTTTTGAAATTGGAAAGTATGCGTACTCCAATTTCACATTTCTTTTTCAATGCTGTTTTGGCTATTCGGTATTTCTTGAAGTTACATATAAATTGGAGGATCAGCTTTTCCATTTCTGCAAAAAGATGCCATTGGAATTTTGATAGGGATTGCATCGAATCTGTAGATTGCTTTGGGGAGTATTGCCAACCTAACAACAATAAGTCTTCTAATTGATGAACACTGAATATTCTTCCTTTTACTTAGGTCTTCTTTAATTTCTTTCAGCAGTGCTTTGTAGTTTCCGTGTACAAGTCTTACACCTTGTAGTTAAATTTATTCCTAGGTATTTTATTCTTTTGGATGATACTGTAAGTTGAGTTGTTGCTTAATTTTATTTTTGGTTTGTTCATCAGCGTAAAGAAATAAAACTAAATTTTGTGTGTTGATCTCGCAACTTCGCTAAATTCATTAGCTCTAATAATTTTATTATAGATTCCCTATGTATAAAGATCATATCACCTGTAAACAGAGATAGTTTTACTTATTCCTTTCCAATTTGGATGTCTTTTATTTCTTTTTCTTGGCTAAATGCTCTGATTAGAACGTACAGTAAAATGTTGAATCAAAGTGATGAAAGTAGACATTTTTGTCCTGTTCTTGATTGTAGGAGGAAAGGCTTTCATGTTTTACCACTGGGCATGGTATTAGGTGTGGGTTTTTCACAAATGACCTTTATCAAATTGAGGAAGTTCCTGCCTATTCCTAGTATTGTGAAGTGTTTTATCATAAAAGGGTGTTGGATTTTGTCAGATGCTTCTTCTGCACCAAATGTGATGACTGAGTGACTTTTCCCCCTTCATTCTAATTAATGAATGATCAATTCTCATATGTCTAATACACATGCATTCTTAAAATAAAACCCAGTTAGTCGTGGTGTGCAATCCTTTTAACACGGTGGTGGATTTGTAGCTTGCTAGTATTTTGTAGAAAAATTTTCATTAATATACAAAAAGGATATTGGTCTGTAGTTCCTTTTTCCTGTGATATCTCTAGTTTTATATCAGGCTAATCCTTGCCTCGTTGAATGAGTTAAGAAGTGTTTGAGAAGGATTGGTGTTAATTCTCCTTTAAATGATCGGTAAAATTCATTAGTGAAATCTTTTGGTCCTGTGCTTTTCTTTTTGGAAGGATTTTTATTACCGATTCAATCTACTTGTTTTAGTTCTGTTCAGATTTTCTATTTCTTCAGTTTTGGTGGTGTGTAGGTTTCTAGGAATTTGTCCATTTCTTCTACAGTGTCTGATTTTTTAGCATACAATTGTTCACAGTATTCTTTTATAATCCCTTTTATTTTTGTAAGGTTGGTAGTAATACTCCCTATTTTCATTTCTGATTTTAGTAATTAGACTTTTTTTCTTAGTCAATATAGCTAAAGGTTTGTCAATTTTGTTTATCTTTTCAGAGAAGCAACTTTTGATTTTGTTGGTTCTATTGTTTTCCTTTTCTCTATTTTTAAAAATTTCTGCTCTAATCTTTATTATTTCCTTCCTTCTGCTAGCATTGGGTTTGGTTTTCTTTTCTTTTTCTAGGTTCTTATGGTATAAAGTTAGGTTATTGATCTTTCTTCTTTTTCAATGTAGACATTTACAACTATAAATTTCCTTCTGATCACTGCTTTCACTGCACTTCATACATTTTGCTATACTGTCTCTTCATGTGATATTTGATATTTCAGTTTTTCAAAAAAAGCCTATTCAACAATGCTGGAGCACACGTGAAGTAATCAGTATATTAAATCACCCAAAGATCATTGCATCTTTCAGAAATGTTTATAATTAAGAAGTCAAATTTTTCAGACTTCTCAAAAGGTAAGTGATTCTTTGACTAGAGTTGATATCTTCTTTTACAAAAGAGGAAAGTAAGAAGAGGATTTCGATCACCAGACAGTATGATGTGTATATGAAAAGACTGCATAATATCAATGTAATTATTTAGCATTAATCACACAAATTCCAACAGATACAAGGTTCAACAGATTAGGAAACAAAGGTGTTGACTAACAGACAT